ATATATAAACTCCATCTGTCTCCGACTCTCAATTGTTTTACGATGCTTGTTAAATTATAACACAATTGTTTTATGTTTACGTGTTAACGTGCACGACAAACGGGTATTCTAGTTATCGATAATGAACAAGACGCACACCAGCAAGTGCCTTGTATTCCATTAACGATAAAATCATGCTTGTAGTTTAAGTTAACCGTTCCGCATGACTAGCCGAAACGTTTTTAAGGGTCAGTACGTATACGAATGTTGAATGATATATTTCAACAAAGACTTGTAGTAAATTATAAAAATATATATAGCTTGTCTCAGACAAGTTGTTTTTTTTCTTTTTTTTTTTAATATTTTTAAGTCATCGTAATCAAGCATGAAAATTTATTTGCGCAGTATTTGCTATTATTGGCAAGTGTTACTGTCCATTACAAATTGCTTACCGGCGAGATCAACAAGTTCAGCAGGAGTTGCGGATTCAAGAGCAGTCTTGGCGTCATCCTCTAGGTCAAGCTCCACCGAGATTTCACCGATAGACTCTTTCGGTTCCGCTACTTTAGGCGCTACCCAAACTTTTCCCCGCTTTACTCCCGCCTCGAAGGGTTTAAATTCGGGCCAGTCTTCTTGTTCTTTGGCGTATTGCTCTAAAAAAAGAATCATTTTTATTTATCATTAAATGATATACTATTATGATTTTTAAAGAAATTATTGATAACTCTACTATTTTAATTTCTATATTGATTAAATAAAATATAGCTTGGATAATTAACTGTATATTATAGGTATATATATATATATATATATATATATATATATATATATAATGGTATTTTGAATGGGTGGGTGCGATTCGTTATCGTGAAATGTGGAAAAGAAGTAAAATATTTTTTTCCCTTCAACTTAAAGGGTCTCCCTTAAACTGATTCCAGATAAGTTAACAATGCACATGGCATGCAATTTGCAAAACTTCAGTAAACAAGAACTTTACTTGGAGCGTACGGTTGCCTGGTTCAGTCTCTGTTAACAATCGGAGAGGACCCCAGGCGAGAGAATGGCGTCGCCTTAGAGAGAAATTGAGTTCGGTGGCAGTGACTGGTAGCTTCGGACATAACGTGACGGTAGTAATTGTAATGGATATCAAAGGCACTTGTTACTGTAAAATTGCCGTCAAAAATGAAAAGGGAGATGCGACCGTTGGCTGAAGGACCATACGAAAATCGAGGCCACGCAATCTGAATATTTCACGACAGTATCAGACCTGGCCATTATCCCTCAGTTAACCTCTAAATTGAGCAAAAAAATATTCTATCTTAGCTTCAGCACCCCCCCCCCCTCCATCCTCGTGTAATTACACTAACTTAGATTATGGGGCTTTCCATGCTCTAAAAAAAGCCACTTTGGGAAGCCATATATAGAGAACATATGGCTGTCTAAAAACTCGTTGAGTGTGTAGAAAATAAAGGAGAATAACATTAAAATTATATTCTAGCCCAATTAGTTTATAACTTATTCAGTTTTAAAATCTGCCAGATTTGCCTTTAACAGTGTAATATAACATCCATGTATATGTTATTGGGGTACGGTACCATCGCGGTCTCACCCTTGCCCGCTGACACACGCAGCTCTAGCAGTAATCTGCGAACAGCTACCAATAAAAGCTGCGTGCAATTGGGCTTCATTCCTTACCCAGCAGCTGTTATGCTCTCCTAAAAAGTAGTAATAGATGTTTGAGAACATGGCAAAATCGTTTGAAGTCCTTGCTTTGACCAGGCCATATGGTAACACCAATACCACGCATCTGTCATAAAACGGGCATCTGCATCCGTTTTAGTTACCATTATCTAACTATTAATAGCTCATTTTGTAATAAACTCACTGGAAAATGTATGGGATATTCCTAGACGGAAGCTTAGTTATTATATTGGAGATGAAGACCAATTTCTTTTAGGCTTGCAAAAAAGTGTGTTTTGCATTATTTAATGTGCATGACCTGTAAGTACATAGATGGCTATATCCACAATAAAGTCTTGCACTTGATCGAAGTTAAATTTGATAACAGTACTTTAACTTAATTATAGTAATATAATTTCTTTGAACATATGTCTAATTATCGAGTCTGAGATAAGGAAAGATTCCCGATAACCTTAAAAAGAAGTCCGCTCTGCATTATCAAAATTGCTATAATTTTGAACTGATCAAACGACACATTGAATTAATGCGTGCACTAAAACACGTACAGCCAAGTATACCTAGCAAAAACAGATAGAACTCGCAACCCATCCCCCTAGACTACACAACTCAGTATTGCATTTTTCAAGCAAGTGTCTCGAGTTTTTCAATAAGCAATAATGTGAATCACAAAAAAAAATGCATAGCCAAGTGTAGAAATGATTTCCCTAAAACCAGAGGTCATATACAATTAAAACAGTAAAATTTTCCTATCCTATGACTTAGGGATAAGCCCAGCTGGCTACAAGTGATGATTATACGAAAACCATTAGCCGGGGCGTAGGTATCGCAAGATGTACGGCGATATGATGTAACCCTGAGTACTTGATAGGAGTGTGTTGACTACGCTACGTACCGGCCGTCCTAGGTAATATGTGCCAGGAACAATCGAGTGAAGCCCGACCAAGTAAATATGTATGTTAACGTATCAAGCTGGTCTAGTGCGTTCAACCTTCAGGCGTTCAAAGACGACTAATGAACTATGTCCTCGATAAGCGCGAACGTTTGCGTTCATGAAAGGTCAGGTCAAAAGGGTCTGACAACGTTACTCCAGTGACAGCAAAACGAACAGATCCATTTTTCAACTATATAGACCACTCATCTAATCAAAATTTCTTGGCAGATATACAACTAATACCAACGATATTGCGGTTTTCCCATCAATACTATATCAATACTACAGGAATAGAGTTTCTTCAAGCAGTATTTGCTTTTAGGCCGTGAGTCGATATTGACACTATCGAAATACACTGCGACTACTCAAATTTAAAAAAATGCGCAGCTCAAGAAAGCACTCTTTTGATGGAACTTTGAAGCAATTTGTGCGTTACTGTATCGGAGTTCTGATGTTAGTTGGTTTAGTTCATACTCTTTATTGTCTATTGGGATTATGTTCATTGGTGATTGAAAGTGCTGAACGCTGTAGAAAATTAGCTAGCAACCTAAGCAAAACGTTAGAGCTTTTCAGGTTTTACTAAGGACGTTTACTAGCGTCGTTTCTTAGCTGCCGACGACAATATATGAAACGGTGTATATGGCTGCTCAATGAGATCACCTGATCCACTGATCAGCCTGAAAACCTGCTAATAGCTACTTCGTTTCATGTCACCAGGACATCTTCTTAGGGAAACTGGATACAGCCCAAGCCGGTTGTTCGTACTTCATCGATAGTTTGGCTTGTCCCTACTACCTCATATAAAAACAACGACAGACAACTGTTTCTCGCATGCACAGGCATACATAGTAAACTTAAAGCACTCCACAAACATCTCAAGTACATATTGCACGAAATATACTAGTATCCAATGTCCCGGTCCATAAACCAAACGTGCTCCATATAGGCAATGATATCTTTTCGTCTGTCTGCTTGCTTGCTTGTTTATCTGCATCTTCTCGCGTGTGCGTACATCTCGTGTAAGTCTATGAAACATTGCATCCCAATTAAGTACGCCTTTGAAACCAACTTCAAGCAAAGCCAACGTTAACGCCTGAATAAATATGCGCACTTTGTTGCGCGCTCAAAGCGTTCGCGCTTAGCACTAAAAATAAAAAAACGACATCGTCGATTGTGATAATAATGTAGTGGAGAGAGCGGCGTCTTGAAACAGACCGCAGGTTGCTATGAGATGGAGGTAGAGGTTTAAGATGCTCCCTCTTTGAGTATCTCTGCCTCACCAGAGTTTACAGCGAGTTTGTAAAGCTAGCCCAACTTTTAGCCCTCACTGGCGAAAAATCATCATTCTAGTAACATACGGTTCATCTCTGCAACGACTGCAGGTTAATCTGCACTTTCAGTCATGACTATTGGTTTTGCACTTGGAAAGCACAACGCTTTTTTGATGGCTACTAGCAAATGACAGCACTAATCTAGCACTCGTCAAAAATGCCATTTTAGGTAGCGTTTCTGTTAAAATATGGTTTTAAAGTCACTATGACCAAAAACGAGTGCTACGATACAATTAACCTCGCCAGTTTGTACTTGTAAACTCTGGATGTGCTATAATTATTAATATTAGTATGAATATTGTATTGATCGTAAAAATAAAGATAAGCTGGAAAGTTGGACTTCTATGAAATTATCACTGCAAAGGATTTCGAAACGTAATCTTAGAGGCGACAATCAAAATGGCTACCATCCACCTCCCCCTCAACTTGTTTGAAATATTTCTATAATTTCGAGCTCCTACCTAACCTTTATATGTTCACTCTTGTTAATCAGAGAAAGCCTAGTATGATTAACCTACAACTCTAGTAGGTCTGTAAAAGAACACCCAAATTAAGTTCAATATGACCCCTCCTCGCGGTCTTTGAGAGAACAAAAAAAACGATCTTTGAAACTAGTCGAATAAGAGGAAAAGTAAGGATCAATTTGAAGATCTCAGTTTACAGAAGTAGACGTATAGGCTACACGTACGCCAAACTCATTAAAAACAATTGTAAGCATACACATATAACAACCATAATGACTGTTAATGAGTGAAGCAGAAATTAAGATGCATTTATATATATATTTACCTAGATATGACAGAAGCTTCCTACGGTTCAGAGGGCCAGTTGGAGCTTTGTCTGTCTGGTTTTTACAACGTTCGCTTGGTGGAATCAACGGGTCGTCAGGGTCAACCTAAAATGAGGATAGAAAACTCCATAGCTGTAAATAAAATTATGCGTTTGCGCCAATCGACAAATGTGCCATTTAGACGAATTTATATCTATGATAAATGGCAGAAATATCGATCGCTTTAATGAAATTTTGTGCTAGATAAAATGGTACAATTAACATATGCCTTACAAATATCCTTGGAAACAAACTATCTTTTTCTGCCGACAATTTAATACATATAACGCGTTCGATCTTAGAAAAGACCACTTGGAACAAGTGCACAGCGAAGGAATATTATTATCGAGAGCGCGTAGATGAGTGGCTGAGACTCCCTTAACACGGGCATATGATGGAAGACAATCAGTAAACCAATTTTCCCTAACCCTATTATAGGTACTGCTAAAATTTAAAAGAAAAAAATATATATATATACACTTAGTACTCCCAGTAGTAATAAGGGAAGGGAGAAAACACTAACGTATCTATTAGTGATAGTAATGGCAACATCCAGTTTTTTTTACATACCATTCCAGAAAGCTGTTCAAGTTCGTTTTCATTGAGTTGCGAAAGCAGCTCATCAATATCCATTTCACTGTACTTCCGGATCATGTCGTTTCGCATCGCCTCAGCCATCGCGATACTGAAAAAGATAACCAACATGGTAATGACCAATTAACACGTTCCAGTTCCCATGAAACTGATGCGACTTCGTTGACTTTTATTTGCCTGTTCTATTATCGAGCGCTTCTGCTAGACGAACTTGAAAGTTGCAAAAAGTGATAACTTCTAGCTCTAGAAGCAAAACGGTTAGCATAAAACATATAGCTGAATGATACCAATGTCGTCCTCTTGCCCTTATTAAATGGAAGTATATTTTGCGTTAACAGGCATGTGTGAATCCCAATATAATGCTGATTTTTTAATTAATCTCCTTTTAATATGGCTGTATAGATGATCTATATTTGTTATTAATTATTATTTAAGTACAATTGACACATCTTGACAATAGTATGTTTATACGTGCTGTTAATAGCCGTTTATTTTTGGAAAGCATTTTGCTGTTATTTAACGTTATCTTAACTCATTCAGTTATATCTATTCAGCAAAACTGAGTTTGTCTTTCGAAAACATTCACAGGTCAAACCCTAACTACTGCAGTTCTAAGGAATTTTACTTTACACATTTTTATATTTAAAAATAGATAGTCGTATCGAAACAGATGATCGCATGATTGCAAAGTAAGATCATAGATTTAACAAACATTATGTAGAAGCTGTAAAAGGCTAGAAAGTCATAGTACACGACCATTAGAAAAATGCAGGTCTGGAAAGCAACACCCAATTCAAATGGCGTGTGAGTCGTGAGCTGAGATCTGAAATTAACTTCAGCTGGCAATCACATACCCATACAAAAGCTACGCGAACTCATTCGAAGAAACTAGATGTGAACATATCGATAAAGCATTAAATTGATGTTTTTTTAACAAACAACAAGTTCATATATTCACAAAATGTATTTAAGTTATAGTTGCTTGTGTAAGTTAGTCTCTAGAATAAAAAAAGACTACGGATAGATAGCGTTAGATGACTCTTTCTTAACAAGGGATTTATTCATAATACAGATAATTCAATAGCGAGATTCCGACATGTTAATACTATATGAGGGACTAAGTCATCTGTACGGTGATAATTTTTAGCTTTAAATCATAAAAAACACTCACAAACTTTAATCTTCAAGCATATCTTTTACTGGATGGAAGGTCACCCTGTGTGTTACGTGTTTGCCATAATAATATTAATAAAGTAATAATATAGGATCAAACGCAACAGAGGTTTGCAGTGTGAAAAATTATTTTTTGCCGAGCGCGGGAACTCCCTACTTGTTGCACCCTGCGGCATGGATGGCTATACAGAGAATGCTTAATGACGTTTATTTACCAGGCTAATATTCGTGCGTCAACGAGTAAAACTAAATAGAGGTACACGTTTATTTGGATCGTGTTTTTAAAGGTGACCTTTTTATAAATCGTGTGTTATGAGATACAATTAACAACAGTATTAGGCCGCTCCGATCAAACTAACTACCTTAAACTGCTGGAACTCTGGGAGTAGGTTCGTCTAGGAAATCGAATTTGCAAGGCTGACAGTTCAGCACCCAGATAAAGACTGTGGTTGATTTAGGTGAACTGATGTCATGCATTTTGCAACAATAAATTCATTGAATGTTGTCACAGGTTGATGGGTTATTGCGACATTCTCGTTCCCTTAAGTCCAGTCCATAGAAATAATTTACTAGCGATTGGTGAATCAATCAAGCCATCTGGCTTATGTAAATGAATCTTGCAAATCTAACTCTAAGGATCTTAGTAGAGAAATAATCACAATCGACGAACGGATATAGGAATCTAAAGAAGTCTTTGATCAAACTAAATAGACATTATTCAGCGACGCACGTTTGAGCTAAAACTAATATCTTTTGAATTGCCGATCATATGTACTTTTTTAAAAACTGCGCTCACGACCTAAGCTTGAAATTAGCCCACCTCTCATAATTTTAGTCCCAGCTTCAATGGAAGCATGTGTAAGTGCTGCATCCAACACGCAAAATTGTCGCTCTGTATACTTGTACTCCTTAACTAAATTGAAAATGGTATTTGTTTATTCTAAAAGGTCTTGGACACAACATGCAACGTGTTTTGAAGTAAACGTGACCATGTCATTTGTCTTAAATCAATTTGAAACTGAATTAATAGTGTGTAAAAAAAAAAGGCATTTTTTGTGTGAAAGGTATTTTACACTATAAAAGAAGCCACCGTACTTGAAAGGACCTGGCCAAACTGTAAGTTCAGTGAGGCGAAACTTCTAACGGACATGGGTCTAAAATATTATACCGTTGCTATAAATCGAAAACGAATCTAAGCATACTTTACTTAAAGCAGAATTTTCCATATCAAAGTAAATTCTGAAGAGACAAAAAAAAGTATCACAGCAATGCGGCACTCGATGACAATGCAAACAACATCAAACTGCTACGGTCACAATTGGAATTGAGAACTGTATTATGCAACGACGATCTCAACCGCCATATTCAAGGGATTCAGCCCATAGTGATTTGATCTGTAAGTAAAATTACACCGTAGTGTAATTTTACTTACAGATCAAACAGTGTGCAATTGTCACTTTGCTCGAAGAAACAACAGGCAACGGATTACGAAACGAAATTAAAAAATTCACTGACCTCCAAATTGCAAAGATATAGAAATAGACCTTGAAAGTTATACAACGAAATAATTTTTCCGATACTAGCATTTCATTGTAATTGCGCACGGCTTTAATCGAGTAGTTTAGCATTGTAAAATCCTACCACTCGTGGACACAAAAAGTATCGACAAAACGTTGACTTGTGACCAACTTGCCTACCTACTGCACACAGCCGAAATTGAAGTATCAACAGGTTCAGGATCTCAGAGGTAAAATCAGCAAGTATTCACAAGTGCTACTAATATTGTCGAACACTTTTGAGGAGCAGGCCCGCAAAGCGCAATTATTAACGTATCGTATTAAACTCAAGTCCAGAGTGAAGAAATTGAAAAAAAAACTGCTTATCTTGTCTCTTTTGCTGCTTCAACTATCACATTTACCACGATGTTCTTCTTCCTAAACTTAAAAAGAGTGAATAGAATCGAAGCTCCTACGATTCAGTTCGAAAGCTGATGCTTTCAATAACTAATAAAAACGGAAGCACACATGTACAGGTGAAGGAGCAAGTAGCATTTGGATGATTAAAGTATAGGCTGTTTGTACGAAAATCCGATATTGTTTTGACCTTTGTAATATCTACGGCTTTAAGAATAACGATAGCACGACGAACACCACGCCTTTTTGCCTAGTGAGGTGCCGTCTTATGTTATCATCAGTTAGGTATCAGTTATCTTTTATTAAAAATTATTTTCTCTGTTTCATAGTTTTCATGCTATAACTGCATCTCCACAATCGTATCAACACATTTCTCATGTATTTCGCCTGAGCAGCAGAAATGATTTCCATATAAACACATTTATTATGGCGACCTTGATTGTCCTTTGACATTGGACATTTGATACAGATTTAATACAAAGTTTTCTTTATTCAAGTGGCAACAATATAACTGCAAAATGTGTGCTTCTCATGTGTTAATATTGCCATTTGCCACTTTGAACTTCCCTTAATACTTATCTGAAGGATTAAGGTTTATTTTAAAATATTCTGGCAACTAATTCATAGCAAACCCATAGAAGTATAGAAATCCAAAAACCAACTAGATATAATAGTAGTTTTGTTTCTTTTAACTTGAAGACTTGAAAGGATTTACTTTTGCACCTGTTTAGCCCAAGACGCTCGATTTTTACAGAAGATGCAATTAACATTAGAGTACCATTTTCAATAACTTGTACATTGTGATTAGGTATCTTATAGATTGTGTGTTTGATGCTTGGCCAGTTGGGATACCATAGTAAATGCACAATATAAAGTAGTTCGTACGATAATCACATACAAATTATACAGTAAGTTCCGCTCTCCTAGGCAGCGTAAGCTTTACTTTTGAAAACTTTAGTGATTGTAAGTCTTCAATGGTTATTTCAAAATATTTTTTAGACTATTCCCAGAATCTGCGATTGAAAACTTTTTCAGTAATAATTGGAAGTTCTTCAGTGCATTTTGCATATTGTCTTACTTTCACTTTACCATTGTTTCTTTTTATTAAAAGAATTTGTCCTGAGCTCCATGAAAAAAGTAGTAGAAAATAAAAATAGAATTTCGAAAAAAATAAAATCTGACTTACCTACAAATATCTAAGATTATTTACGCATAAACATATAACCCTGCGTCCTTCTAAAACTAATAATCACTTCACATTGCCTACAAAAAATATTTGCAGAGTCAAAGGCTACTGCAAGCAGATCTTGCCTGGCAAATATCGTTGTCACAAAACTATTAAAGAATGCAAGGCATATACGCAGGCCAAACCTTGAAGTTCGCAAACACCTATAAAAACAATTTTTAATGAATATCGTTTTGTTAATGTTCGGATATTTACTTATTTTGCCACATTTTCATTTTTATATAGTTAACACTAATAACCGTTAATATATAGTTACGTACGTACGTATAATACGTAAAAACGTAAAAAAGGATTGTCCTTTCGTTCGTTGTTGTATTGACAAAGCAATATATCAGTTCGACAGACCAAGTTAAAACTGGCATCAAAAGAAGCCGTGCGAAGGTACGGTCTTCATAGCTTAGTTAATTAAATGACTTGCATGCCTGAGTAAAAGCAAACGTCAAGGGCAACTACGGACACGGTACAATCTTAACATACGCAAGTTAAAAGGCAAAACATATAACATTCCAAGGTTTCTCAAAAATCTTTCAATAATATATCTCAACTAAGTATGCAATGGCTCATACTTTTTTGTCATCATTTGTTTCGTTAATAGCTTATAATTTGGTTTAACTACGAAGCAACCTTATGTTTGTTTTATTATAAACTGGGCGAATTGAGTTGTTATATAATTATATTCGTATCCATCTAGTTTCAAATGAAACCGCTTCCATTGAAAGCAATGATTTTTTTACAAATGTGACGTTTTCGAAGCATTAAGATGATGGTTTTCCTACCGACGCCACGCCCACCTTAGTCTTAAGGAAGTAACTATATGACACGCTGAAGTCAGTAAAAGACAGACAGACACAGTCGGTCAATCTAGGAAGCAATATCGGCAGACCATAGCAAACGAGGTGCCAATCTAAGTGACGAACTAAAAAAAAGTGCCGCGATGCTTTATATTGAATGATTCAATTAGCAGAGAAATAGTTGTAACCTGTTATTTTTCTAACTATACACTCACGCTGGCCTTTCAGCGAGCTGGATAAAAGAGCTCTTGCGTCTTCCATCCCTCGATAGTTCTGATGATGACGTAGAGACTCGTGTGGTCACCTTCGTCGTTCTCTTGTGCGTTGTTGTCTTCACACTTAGGACACTCATTTTGCTCAATAATTAGGCTCCTTGTCGTGCAGAAGACTCGTTGACGTTGAAGTCACCTAATCCACTGGCTAACTATCAGGTTGCAGCAGCACTTTCTTTTTAGTAATCCTTTTCCGGTATAGACCTTAGTTATATCCCTTAGTGGTAAAGCGACACGCAACAACACTGGGAATGAAAGCACGTTGCAGGTCAACCAAGCGACCGAGTACAATGAGCGAGAAACTAACTGCTTGATTCGCCGACGTATGCACACACTACACAGAGTGCTTTAGGTTTTTGCCGGCCTAGTGGCTAGGTTCAGTAGGGTTCACTCTAGCTATGCCAGATGGCCTGAATTGGGCTGGTCGGACACGGCCGCTTTATTCAGCCTGGTTCCACAACAGAGAATAACGCACGAATACAAGCTAACAATTGAATGCGCAACGCTTCTTTCAGACAGTGAATGGTTGGCTGTAGTTTGGCGTGTGTGTGTGTGTACTTCTTGAGCTTGAAGGTTGTATTCTTCCAAGAGGCCCGGGAGAGGAGCAGCGGTTGAGGGCAGTACTAAGCCCTTTCGCCTCAACGTCAGCTGAGTAATAATAGCTGAGTTTCTTCTCTACAAAATAACCCACTATCAGGAGAATGCAAGAAAGACAGAAGCTCTGTTTAAAAGTGGTAATTCACCATGGAAGAACTGAGTGACAACTCTAAAAAAACCTGTTTCTCTAAAAGCACTGCAGAGCCCGGTAATCCTACATCCGTTGCCGAAACGTCAAGAAGCCTAGATGCGAGTACGCATTTGAAGGAGTACTTAGCTATACATAAGAACAAGGGATATTTTCTTCCTCAAACAAAATGTGAGTAAACAAGAAGACACTAGAAAGCCCCAGTTCTATGCAACCTTACAAATCAGGCCGGGGAAATACAACGATTCAAAAATGCTAAAGCCTGCAGATAATTACGCACGTAAATATGCGTAAATTTTATCCGTTAGAAAATTACAAAGATGTTCGCTTTTTTGAGGAGTTGTATTTGACTCGTCAGTTTGAGGCGAAGTTTGAGATCAGCGCCGCCCGCAAGATGCATGAGCGAAGGATTAAAGATGTGCGTAGTTTCTAAGTTCCCCGGCGCATTTTCCGTACCACCTAGTAACTGCCTTCCCTTATAAAAACTTTTAATACCCGTACCGCCTTATTTAGAACAAATATTTGGCCCGACAACCTCGTATCTGAGAAAATGAAATTTCTAACATCTTAAAATAAAAGAGGTATCCCTAGATAACTTCTGGGACTCGTGCGCTACGAATCAAGCCTAAATCATGCTCCCTTAGAGCACATTGCCTCACTTTTATAGCATAAGCTAATACTTGCAAACATACTACTAAAATGCAGTTCATTATTTGAAACAGGAGGAGCTTTTCTCTCGTTCTTTCACATTAAATAAAAGTTCAGAGATCCTTTAATACTAATTTCAGCTATACATTACTTAACTCTCTCTCTCTTAGATCTCGTAAAATGCGTTTAGTAAAACAACTACATATAATTATCGAAAAAAAGGAAATAGAAAATTGAGCGCTAGTGACGGAGGTAAACTGTAATTTTTTCAGAGATTAAAAAAGTTAAGAGTGCTTTGTTGATGTAGCAAAGGATTATTTGCCTACTGTTGAAAAGCCACTATTTCGTTACACCGTTATAAATACATATATGTCATGGCGAAGCTGACCCGTAGGTAATGCGTTCTCTCAGCACCTAAATCACTTATTTGTAATATTATTATCTAACTCACACAAAAAGTGCACCTTTTATCTCAAAAAGCCACTAAAGAATAGTACCTACCTACGAAATTTTTGAAAGGGACTTTGGAGAGTCGAAGAACAGCCAGTCCTTTTCGAATCAAGGCTCAAAAAAGGCAAAAAAAAGACAGAGCAAAGCTTCCGAAATGGATACTGACATCTTTGATACATGCATATGATATGAAACTAAAGGCTAAAAGACTATAGTGAAATGCTAAGTAACTGCTAATCATATATAAGATGGCGTACAGCTCCATATTCACTAAGGTTAGTAAGGTAATCCACAGTATTAAAAACACATCAAAAGCATTACAATTTATTCGAATTTCTAACTTACTGAGCTTAATTTTCCTTCAGTTTTATTTATTACATTATGCCGGCATTGTTATATAACATAAGTTTTCTATGGTGTCAAGGTCGTACATCGCCATTGCTGCATAAAGGTTGCTAAACACAGATACAGAGGTATAAGAGGTTAGAACGCCGTCAGTCGGTAAACTGTCTCTACTGGCAACGACATCTTACAGCTCAGGTTCACCTGACAGGGACAGTAGCTTTCAAGACTCTTAGCGCAGACCTAAACGGCAAAGACTAATTATCGCATGGTGCGTCCTTTAGGTGCAATGCATTCACCTACCTTGTCTTAGCACTCACTACAGTCTCCGCCGTAAAATGCTACAATAGCATTTGAGTTGTTATGCAAAAATAAGCGGTCATCTAAATACATCTGAATCCGATGTCCCACAATCTTTATGAACGCATAAGTTTTTATAGTAGGTTACTAGAACAAGATAGGACAAATCTTTCAGTAAAACACATACTATTTGCAGTGATAACTCGAATAGTAAAAGGGACGAATCTATTTTTATTACGGTTGTGGAATTGACGCAATTTTATTGTTGGTGCCAAACACGCTGTTGACGAACGATGCAGAATTCACTAAATAATACCTTTTCTGTACTTCGCAGACTGTGAGTCTTGCTAAGTTAACGTTGCACTGTTTGGCCAGATCGGTTATGTGTATTTACTCTTTGTAACTTCGTAATTGAATCAATAAAATGATAATAGTTATCAAGTTGTAGAGAGTTCACTCTTCCGATAAGTATTATCTCATCGAAGAAGTGAATCCCATTTATTTTTTTCTTCGCATAGTTTACCTCCTTGTTTTAATATTGGACTCAGCCCATAATTATTTAACTTGTTTATATATGTACAAGTTTAAACCTTCGCCCATGTTATTCCTTTTTTCTCACTCGTTGTGCGACCATCGTCACCCTAATTATCGACCGGCGAGATCAGTCAGAGGCGACGACGACGTCACATTGACGTCATACGAATTAAAACTAGATCGGTCCAGAGTACAGGAGATAAAGCGGAGAAAAAAGCGAGAAGACCTGAAAGCAAGGAGAAGTGCTACGATTTATGCCTGTATTGCCGTTAGTCGGCTACATCGGCTGGGCCAGGTTCGCCCGTTCGTACACCGGCTGCAGTGATCTTTCGCCTGCATTCTCGCTAGTTGCTCTTCACGAACAGGAAAAGGACTTGAAAAAGAACAACACGAACACCTGTTGTCTCGCACTCGTGTCCTTTACATTCGGTGATGATAACCTCAGCTAAGTGATAATCTAGAATTTGTTCTTATCCTTACTAATAATAAAGTATATATTAAATCAGATTAATATTACGCCTTATCAATAGTAAACACATATCATCGAGGAGAGCGTTTCGGCAACGTGTTTTAGTATTGAAATGGATATAGTTTGTATATAATAAGCTTGTTTTTATTAGTGTAGTCCCATTTAGCCGCATGTACTGAGTAGTTACTTGTAGACGATAGCACATATAGATATTGGACAATCACAACTATAATGTAGGCTTGAGCAAAGTTCCTTGCTATTGCAGTGTATGATGTTTATAAAAACAAATCAAAGCGGCATATGGATTGAAAACAGCTCCTACGTTTGTTCTGCCTTGGTATCTGGAGCGGATTCGGGTAAATCTATATGGTATGGACATTAACAAGACCACTGGCCTTGCCGTACCAACATTACGAGTCTTGGCGCCATACAGCTGCTCTGATACTATTGACTGGTGATGCGGATGGACATGAATGAGCTGCTTATGGGACAAAATGTTGATATTCTTTGCCTGAATGCCATTTGATCTGGGTGCGCCCTAGATTAGTCAGACAGATGGATTCTGCTCCGGATCTAATCAATGGCTTCATTCCGTTTTTCATATGGACTGTTCTTCTAGCACCTATATGTACATCCACGATGTACATATAGGTGCTAGAAGCTATAGTAAACTTGTTGCTTTAGTGCGTGACGCAATTCGTGTTGTTAAAGATCGGCCAACTTTTGAGGGAGTCTATAACATTTTAGAAGCCTATAAATGAATGATAGACGACGTCCAGAGCTGCCAGTGAAATTAACTGCCGATGTGACGATGTATGATCTGATACCTACGCTTTTCAATATTTTAGATCAGCACTAGAGGATCTTAAGAACGTTCCACGCTGAGATAATGTATACAAATTACGAATGTACGGGCATCTACCGTGAAACGACATCTTTATATCCGCTGTGTTGGAATCGTCTGACGTTGAGCAAAGGTGCTCACTTACAGCACTGGAAGAAAGCTATTTGAGCTTACGGCGAGGCCTCGCTGTACGACCTTTTTAAAGAAAAGTACCGCTGGGACTGCGACAAAAAAATGCCAAATTTATGATGACGGCAGGGTCCAATAAGCAAATTCATAACAAAAAAAAAAAAACTACAGTTGGCCCGAGCAGTTATAGTAATAATCGAAAAATGATTGTTGTGAGAACTATCATAATTATAACGATATTTATATGTTAAAATGTGTGATACCTCTCAGAAAAAAGGCGCAACAGCCACTAACTGTCATAAACGACAAAAAAGCACAAGTCACTAGTCGTAGCTATCAATCAGCCATTACGAATTAGCACGAACTTTCTAGCACTAGGTAACTCGCCAGTAAACTTGAAAACCCACCCAAGACAAAGAAGAAGTACCAAACCTTATCTTGTCCTCAGCTTTCCCAGTCCAGACAACGCTAATAAGCCGCTATAGCTGAGATCATTACGATCAATAGCTATGCTTAAAAACGATAGGTAAGTTGCGCGGCAGGCAAGCAAAGCTTTAGTACTAAATAATTTTGCAGCGGTACGGTTCCCTTCTCTCTCCGTCTCTCTCTTCATTTATAAGAAAACCCTTTTCTAGATACAAATAGAATGCTACGACAATCTTCCCGCAGCTACCTGGAAATATTATCGTCTTTTTGCATATGACTTAGTTCGTCCATGAGCGCAAAAACCATGGAAAAAGATGGTAATAAATGCCTGCTTTGCTGGCTTATCGTATGGAAGGCGTTGTATTTACTCCCGCTTGTAGTGCATGCAAATATGCACGTAACGTCCTGACTAGCTGCGTTGGTCTTTGCCTGTTTCGGGCCATTTCTAGTGGCCTAAATCAAAAAGTTGGTCCAAACAGTACAACAGAAGATTCTCGCCATCAAAAACTATTTAATCTATTTTGTCAATAATGTAAAATTAATA